CTGTGTTGTTTTAAATTAAATATTAAAAATTAACTTACTGTTTCCCAAAACGAACCAAATTTCTATGTATTTACTCACCACTTCAATAAAGATTCAATGGGGGCAGGTGAAATGCCAAGAAATATAGTTTCTTCTTCATCCATACCTGTCGCAACTTTATTTTTTCCAGTTTTACAGCACCAAAATGAAATTTAAGGGCCTTTCCAGGCCCTGAATAACCCAATTTTATATTCTTGTACTTTTTTTGGACTCGTGAAGTACTATAGCCACAATTTTAGTTATACTTGAAGGTTAAAAAAATTTGGCTGGAGAGTTGTAAGAAGAGATTTCATGCCATACTCATCACTTGTAATATCCAATGTAAAGCCATTATGTCCTACAGGATTTTAAACCATGGACTAAAAATGTAAAAATCAAACTTATCATCTTTTCTTTTACTTCTAAAAATACTGATACACTTATGATTTGAAAAATATTCATGCAAGTTCTTTCAATCAGCTATGAATTGCAATGTACAGAAACATCTAGAACTAGATTTTCATAATTACTAATGAAAGTCAGGTTAGTTTTGGTACACAAATCAAATACAAAGGAAAAAACAGTTATATCATGTACTTACAGCATAATTTGTATAATCACATTTTTCCTATACTGAGGCATCCAGTCTCTGATAAATACAACCTTGATTAAAAAGTGAGTATTCTTCATTTTACAGAATTTGGTAACAAACAACAATTGCATTTAATGACACTGAATACTATCACTACAAAAGAGAAACCTGATTAGGCTTGTGAATTCCATTATCACATGCTAGTACACTTGATGAATTCATTTTAAACGTTTAATTCAAAACAAATAAAAATTATAAAAGTCACATATTTAAGTAAGACTATGAAATGTGCAATAAAACAAAACAATAATTTAATTCTCATTGTACTTGAGTCTGTTTCCCACATCTCGGAAAAAACATCCAAAATCATAAAAATCTCAATTAGCTGTAGATGCAGTTAGCCTTGATAGTTTGAATTATCACAACAAAAACATGAAAATGAAATGCTGTGTTATCTCTTAAGTTCTGTGAATTTGGTTATTACTTATGGAATCACATTTATTTTATTTATTTTTTGAACTGATACAAATTTGAGTATAATGACCTATATTGATTAATTACAAATTTTTTTAGCTGCACCTGAATTTTTTACAGTTGTCAGTCTTATTAGCTATGGAAGAATAGGTGACGACAAACATTACTGCAAATACAAATTCTCATTTTCTTTAGAAGGTTGTTGATGCATAACTACAATAATTTCCCCATTGAAATTCTTGATTACCAGAGTCAACAGGATGAAAAGCACATAATATAGTTTAACATGAAATTATTAAATTGCCTAAAGGAATATTTCATAGGTTACAGTAGGGAAAAAAAGAAATCCAACACTTAAATCCACGAAAAAAAAAGTTTTTCATTGCTGATACACATGTTGCATGTAGTGATACATACTCTACCGAAGTCTAAAAATTGTGTATTTTTAAACAGATATCTGAAATTATCCTTTTATTTATTTATGGATAAATGAATACATGTCTTAAAATTGCTTTTCTTTAAACACTATGCTTTGTGAAGTTTACCTAGGGTCATCATGTGGCAAGCTTTGAACAGAATAGTACAACAGTTCAAACTGTCACGTGTTACCAGACAGTAATGATTTGCAATTAAACAATAATGTAAGACATCAGCAATTGCTAAGGGGTAAAAAAAAAGAATAAAATAACTTTATATTTATATGTTTATTAATTTTAAGTTTTCATGATTAGTATTTATGTCAAAAAAAATTTAAAACATGCAAATTGAGGAAGTGTTTAACTGTGCACTGGAATGTTATGACAGTGACTCTGATCCCAGATTCTGTTTAGATTTTCCTTTCAAACAAATACTTTCATAATTTTTCAGAAACTCTTACTAATTTTTAACTTTTAGGCATTAAAGATTGTGATACAGATTTTAATGTCCAATTCTGTTTCCTAACAAAAAATAAAGCAGCTTCTGTCAAGAAAATTTGTTGAACATGACAAATTAAGTTCAATTTATCAAATTAACTCTAAGGTTACGGGAGTGTAACCAAGTTGTATATTGTGTAACCAACAAAGCAACCATGAGATTAGTCATTCTATAACTTTTGATAATGTAAGCATATCTTAATAAAACTTCACAAACTATCAGAAACATTACAGAGCTTTTGCACATAAAAAAATCAATTTTTTAATTAAGTATTTTAACTAAAGATTTGTTTGTGACTTTTTGCACTCAGAATGTTGACTATCCAATGCAAAGCAATTTTGATTTTATGATTAAAAATATTTGTCCTTGTGTGAAAACTTATAAAATTCATTTTTGTAATCTCTGAAACCTACTAAATATATATCAAACGTTTTTCTTTCAGTAATCTTTAAATTATACTTCTTATTTGCTCTACCATAACAATATACTTGATTATCTATGCTGTTGACAAGTTATCAAGCTATAGTGAAAAGAAAGGTTGTAAAGTGGAAAATAAAATGTGTATTTCTGTTAGCATTAACCACAAACTTCAAAATTACTTCTGTTCACAGTTTCTAGTTCCAACCTTTTCCCATCTGTTTCCACTATTTATTTTACTTGCCATACCTAGGGCATTAATTTACCACTTGTGCCATTACTGTTACTGATTGGAAAAATTCTGTTGGGGATAATAGAGGTGCATTGAATAGGCATTGAAAATCTGAAGAACATCAAGTTGCTTTGGAAAATGCAGAACATTTCCTGAAAATAAAAAAAATTAAATGCAAAATATCTGTGAGTTTACAAGTAAAGCTTCTAAAGACAGAGTTGAGAAAAATTGAAATATCAGGTGTCAAAAGTAGAGGTGATTGTTAAACTTTCACAGTGAGGAATTCTCTTGTAAGGTAGATTGAAATTAGAAGCATGAAAAGAAGACAGCAATTTCAACTGCTTTGTTGAATGGCTATCTGAATTCAATCATGTTTTGAAAGATCACTTGGAAGCAGCTCCTGAGAAAGCAACTTACATCTCTTCATCTGTCCAAAAGGAATTAATATTAAGCATTGAAACAGTAGTGCAGCATATACATGTTGATAGAGCAATGATTTCCATGCATCTCAATAAAATCTGATGCAGAGCTTTTCAGTATGTCTGTGACAGTTGTTTCACACTTCCACTGCAGCTGCAAGTTATAACCAAGTTCAGTGTGTGAAGTATTTTGCTTTTGGATACATCTTTATTATCCTTGCCTGTACTCCACATATATAACAAGATATATTGGAAGCCCCATCATAGTCTTGCCCCCTAATTTTGTCCATTTCAATACCCCAATTTATGAGATTTTTGACAATAGCACATGACAGTGTCACTGTGTGTGTTTTCTTTACACATATGAAACCCAGAAAGTCTTCTTGGTTCTTTAGGGTGGTGATGTCAACACAGCAAGTTCACAAAGATACCTGCTCCTTAATGGACACAACTCTTGTTTCATCAGCTATTATTGTTACAAACTTTCTCCTAGAGATGTTATATATGAGTGTCATAGTCAATCACTTCCTACACTTTGTGAAACTCGATGGGCATCTAGAGGCAATTGCTTGAATGCTCTATTAAGCAATTATTCACATGCAGAAAGCAGAAATAATGCCTCTTCATTCACTTACTCTCTTACACAGTTCCCATTTATTTATGTATCTGTCATTAGCCATCACCTTCTTCATTTCATGAAACTGTTGACAATTGCACTGTAGTCAAAAACTTGTGATCTTCTTGCTGCTCACGAAAGGGCACAGCAACTCATGTCAACATTTAAGGGTATATGTGCTAATGATTCCATCTCACAACTTTTGTTCGACTGAGCAGCAAGCACTGCCACATCAATTGGGGTAGAACCACTAAAACCAAAATTAACAGTCAAGCAAGCTCAGCAGGCCAATGCTGGAGTTGCAACCTCCTTGACCACAAATGAATATTTGAAGATAATTTTAATTGAATAGGCTTGATAAATTAGGATTTGAATTTTTATTGTGAATAAAATTATTCAATTGATGCTTGAAAATTTGTCAGAAAAGCCACTTTATCTAAAATAATAAAAGAAAGTGACACAATTATTATTTTTTGCAATCTTCAGACTCATAATTTAATATAACTGATACATTTAACATTTCAACTCAACTATCTCTACCCTTTTCTGGACCACATCATTAGTCATTTGTTGACTCAGTATTCTACTGAACTTATTGGTGTCATGAAAACTGCACATCTGGTTCCACACTTTTTTAGAGAATTTGACACCTGAAACTCTGGATGATAAAAATCTTCCAATGGATGATTTGCTATCATTTTCACAAGAGGTAAATTAATAATCTTGTAAACGTGTTTTACATGAAAGAACAAACTTGTTAATGTATGTCAAAATTTTGATATCACGTGCGTAATCAATTCGGAATAAAAGTTGATCAGTAGCTTACACTTACCTATTAATAATTACAGGTTCAGCTATGGAATAAGAAATGGCTTCAGCAAAATCTGAAAATTAAGAAGCCCAAAGTTCTCAAAGTTGCACTAAAAAAATGCAGTCAGGAATTATTTTCCCAATATTCACACAATTTTGTGCCTTTTGGCTACACTAACCATTGACCTTTGTTCAAATGAACGTTCATTCGCTCACTCAGTCGTCTTAAAACATATTCAAGGTGCAGCATGGCAAATTCCAGATTAAATGGATTGGTTCTTTTATACATTCATAAAGATATGAACGTCACTCTTTTAGATGTCATTAAACACTGGGATTTGCAAGGCCTACACAGAACAGCTCTTGCATTCAAAAAAGTAGTACGTACTGTTAATACATTGTATTTTGTAGAAATGTGACAATATGTGGACAGTCTACCCATTCATTTTTCACTATAACATGATCTTTTGTTGTCCAATTCACTTATATTCAAAATTAAATTTTAAAATTTTGCAGTGTTCTGCTGTAATTATTTTCACCTTGACTGCTGTAAATATGACTGTACAGGAGCCCAAAATATACATTTTGGGGTCATTCAGCTTTTTATACCATAAAATCCTTAAAAAGGCATAAATAAAAGAAAATTAAAAACAAATCTGGGTATACTAGACCAAGGTACAATACTACCAAGTTTCAAGTCAGTCTTACAAAAAATGAGGGAATGGCAATTGATAGAAAAGTGTTAAGAAGAAGAAAGAATAGAAAAACAGCATGTCTCTCAGCAAAGACATAACTAAATGTAAAACAAGACTGACTGTATTTACATTGGAAAAACTAATAAAGAGCTTTCAACACGATTGAAAAAACATTTAATAACTTTAGTTTAAATTGAACCAATGATTAAATATAATCATTTCTTTTATTTTCTAGATAATAAAATAATTGGCAGAAAGAACAATATAAATCACAGAAAAAGCTGAAGAAGCTCTATCAAACAGCCAGAATCTACCATTAATAAATATACAGGTGTACAGTTATATTTATTCCAATTTTCCCCTTACTTAGCCACTATTCATTTCTATCACTGTTTAATGATATATATCATTACTGATACTGTAACATGTGACAGTCTGAACTGTTGTAAACTTCATACTTCATTCAAAGCTTATCACTCGACAACATTAGATAAACTTAGCAAATCCTCTTTGTTTAGATGCTTTTAAACATATTTTTTTTAGACATAATTGAAAAGTATTACTTTGTGTGAGAAATTCTTCCTATAATTTATTCAAGACATCCAAAATATTTGATGGCAGTGTATAAAATCAATCAACTAAAATCAAAAAGAAGTAAAATGCTTCACTCTAACAAACAAATATGATGTATCTGATCTATTGTTTGGTTTCTTAGTGACTGAACTTTAAAACCTTGTCAGAAATAAAAATATTTGCTGCTTCCAATATATAACTTTATTTTACAATGTCAGCACAAATGCAAGATATTTTTCGGTACTGAAAAAGGTACTGCACAGTCATACGTATGATACTGATGTAAAAAAAATAATGTGTACTTTCAGTCTGACATCTGAAATATCTTTAAACTGTAATAAGAGTTCTAGCATTTTAGTAATACTCCAAATAAAATACACAAAGAAAGGAGCAACTGGTTTTAATTCTTTTTTAAAGATAGAAGAAAACCTAAAAGACTAGATCTAATACTAAATGACTCAACTCCTCATATAAATGTTATTTTCAAAATGAAACTCTCATTCCTCAGCTAAACAGTAGCATTCACAAAATTGTGAGCTCGAGACAGAAGATATTGAAGTATTAAAGAAATAGTTGGAACATTAAGCATGACTACTACTGATCTGACTATAGCATCTTAAACTCCCCCTTTGGTAAACACTTGAATTAAGAAAACTGATCTAAAGTTTTGATTTGGAATAATTATAAATTCCAAAGTGATCAGAAAACAAATATATATTTACTATTTCCTTTAAATAATAAGAGATTTTTATTGCTAACACAAATGACATTGACATATAATTTTAGAGGACACATTAATAATATATACATAGATAGTCTGATAATAATAATAATAATAATGCTTTGGTAAAAAAAAATAAGTAATTACAAGAAGTACCAGCTTTGGGAAACAACAGTCACTCTTCGGGTAATTTTACAAATAATTTTCTATTTATGAAAATTATGTCAATTCTGTGACATTAAATCACCTTAGAAAATGGTCCTTATAGAAACTTGGAGTGAACTGATATGTCACAAAACTAGGTAGATAAATACAGAAATCACTGAACATCACACTGATGTGCTATTTACTATCCACTTCAATGAAGTAACTTTTTGTTTTAGTGTTTCAGGAAAATATACATACTTACATACATAAATGGTATATAATAACAACACAAAATAGAATAAAGATAGATAAAAATTTTCTACATGAAAAATAAACATTTTATTCTACTACAGATTCTGGATAAACAGATGGTTTATAAAAATTATATTCTAACCCCTCCCCCATAATTTCCATAACCCAAGTCTTATAAATAAGCTAATAACTGTAGTTAAATTGGGTGATGTCCAGCAAACTTCCTAAATTATCACTCAATAATACTTAGGTAAATATATTAACATCACATCAATAAGTAAAAACTAATATGTATCAAAATAATGAAGGTATTAAGTCAAACTGAAGCCCAATTTATATATATACATGGGTGAAAGTGTCCGATGGTAATTGCGACTGAAGCATATCTATTGGCTGGGGGTTTGGGGGCCTAGGTCCCCAAAAGATGCATTCTGAGCCATTTTAGACAACTTTCAGAATCAGATTTTAACTTGGCTTTGTAGAAACAAAGAAATTCAAAAATCATTTTCAACTTCTTACCATGTTACCAGCTGGACCAACCTGATAATCACACAAGACTATTTAATTTTTTAAACGTTAATACTCAATCCTTTTACATGTATGCCCATTTAATTCCAGTTGTGCATAAAAAAAACAACATATCACTGAATTAACCAATTATGATCTTTTCCTTGTAAAAATTAAAATGGTTGGAAGTTTAGACCAATAAAATTTAAAATGTGTTTAGGTCACATTAAATTTAAATCATGCCTGGGAAAAGCTATTTTGACACATTTGAATCTACAGACAGAGAACTTTCATCCATGTATGTAACAAAATGAGTTAAACAAGTATTCAAATCTTGATTTTCTTATGAACATAAAAAAGAATAGTTTTACAAATGCCCTGAAATTTACACCACATACAAAATAATACTTAAAAAATTACAACAATAGTTGTGAGTCCTATACGTAACTGTTAATAAAATATTATAGAAAATAAAATTAATACAAAACTTGTTACTGATGGCTTCAGCACTAATACTAATAGAGATGTGGTGACCATTGTTTTGAGAGGATGTTTTCTTCTGTGGATAAACTATCACAGATGCATTGAGTTAATGCCACTTGGCTTTCTGGGCAAAAATGTCTGCTCGAAGATTTTGTGCAAAACAAATCCCAAGTATCTATAGAAAAAATATGTATTTAATAGTTTATAAAAGATTTGTAATTTCACTACAGAGATACTTATTTCTCTTTATGTTCTTAGAATAGAAAAACACCTCAACTTGCAAAAATTGATATATATATAGTTGTTGTATATTACTCTAAATTTAAGATTTAACCAGGTCAAGATTGATTATAAATCTGGAGTTTGTGATATCTGTTAAACATTGAAGTTTATTAAAAATAACTTACAACAATAGCTGTGGATTAGGTTTTCCATTCTGTTTAGATGAAATGTTATTAACTATTTTCACTGAGGAATTATTCAACATTGTTTGCCTATCCTTTGATAAATATTTTCTGGTCAAACATTGACTACCCTTTTTTGTAGAATAATATGGAAATATCAGAAGTTGACCCTATGCTTCCTATTACTTGCAACTGCAAAGGTGTTTCAAGTACAATAAATGTAGTAGATGTGGATGTTGCCATGATGAGATATCTATTAGAACAGCATTTCCCAACCGGTGGTTTAGGAACCCCTAGGGGTTCAAGAGAGAATTCTGAGGGGCTTTATAAAAAAATTTCCTGGTTTTACAGTTCTTGCCAATATCTTAATTTCCTTCTAATTTATTAAAATATTTACAGAATGATTGTTTGTAGTTTGTAGTTATGCACAAAGCTTCACAATGGGCTATCTGTGCTCTGCCCACCATGGGTTTCTAGCATTGTAACTCCGCAGACATACCGGTGTGCCACTGGGGGTCTTACAGAAGGAAATAACTTGATGCAGAGCCAGATTTAAGACAATATCTCTCTTCTGTTGAGCCAAACTTTAAAGCACTGTATTCTTCAAAACAAGTTCAGAAGTTTCATTATTTTTAGTTAAATGGTTTTGTTTTCAGTTTTTGTTATTATGTTTTATCAAGAATTATATTTCAATTTTACTGGGTAATAGTTTTCACTGCAAAAACTATTATTACTTATAGGGTTCACTAAGAGTAAAAGGTTGGGAACTGCTGCAATAAAAGAACAATAAAGGAAAAGAGAGTTTGCAAAAATGAATATTAAGAAAACTAAGTGAAAAGAAGAAATACCTCTTTTTTTCAAAAGCAAAAATTACTGTTGTTCTTGGTCTTGAAGATGGTAATTCAGATGTTAGTGAAGCAACACTTAATTAAAATGCTTCTGGCTATTGTTTGCATTGAAATATCCATGTTTCTGGCAAAGTTTACAGCAAAAATGGCAATCAATCCTCATCAAAATATTGAAATTTGAAAACTAGTTTAGAAGTTGTATCAAAATCAGTTTAATTTTTTGTTCTAGTTTTGAACTTTTTTTAGACACAAGACTACATAATATTACAACTAAGAGCGAAAAATTAGTACTTTTGGATCTGATGTGAAAACTTATCAACATTTGAAGGATTTTGACTTGGTTAAATCAAGGATTCAGAATTAAGAAAAAATAAGTAACTTAAAAAAGTAAAAAAAAAAAAAAAGACTTCAACCAACAACTTGGTTTGGCATTAAGTCTTTTTCAAGTCTCATTTTTATAATAAAATATCTTTAAGTTGAAGTGTTCTGAATATTAATGCTAACCAGCTCTAAATAAATAACACATAATTAAATCACAAACTGTCATATCTGTATTTATTAGTTAATCAGTGGATGAAAACCAAAAGCAAAAAAGGATATTTTCTATACATCTAAGCTATTTTTTATGTTTCAAAAGTATACAATTGAAATAACTTATATCAAGAAAATGCTATATTAAATATGATTCAATGTTTAATAAAAAAATTATCTCAGTACCAAAGTATTTTACATATAGTAAAAACAAAGTAACTACTATAAACATAATTTTAATTGTACATAATTATTACTTAGCAAAAATTTTTTTATTGAAATTGTTGTTTCTCATCATAATAAATATTTTCTTCAGAAACAAAGACATGAACAACTATTTTTAAAGGTAGTTGAGGTAAAATGAGTCAGTTATACATGGATATAGTTACATAAACAATTTTAGTTTTTGTAACTAACAGCAGCTTACTAATAATAGCATTCTTCAGATGGTTCTTTGTTGTCTTTTAAAAACAGAGTAATGAGTTTGTTTCTTTGTAGGATTGTGAATAGGATTAAAAGAACAACATGAAAGTAATTTTACTCTTGTGTGCTTGTGACTCATCTAACCTATATAAAAGCCAGTGTGTGTCACATCACACTTGATTTTTCAAGTTATAAAAGCCAAAATGTATTTATCCAGATTGAATAGTTTGATTACTGTCTACCCATTATGATTTTATTGATGGGGGAGCAAGAGGGCCATGATGGGAGGTGCCGTGAGTGTTGGTATAATAGGCCTAAGAGAAAGATGTAGTGTGGGATCACCTAGCCAAGAGCCATGTGCATAAAATTTATCATGAAAGTAAAAATATCAATTCAATTTTAAACTTAAATCATTTCTGAATTAAGCTATTTTCTGTTATATCACCAACATTTTACAAAAAAAACAAGCCTCTTTAATCCTCAGAGACTCTAAATTAAGAAATCTACAAATATTTTTCCAATTTTGTTGTCTGTATATTTCATTTTATACTTTCAGTAGATAGACTAACAACAATATTAGGTTATACTTTTGTTTCTAAGCAACATGACATAAAAGCCATTGTTGGAATGTAGTGTTACCAAAACACACTGGCATTTTTATATATTGGAAGTTGTTAATCTAATTGATTTGTACCAATAATTATTCTATGAATATGCCACAAATTTATTTCATGAATGATCTTAATTTTGACTGGCT